CAGCCACAGGTCCCGTCATCAGGAGTGGAACAACTTGGTTTAACCCAGGGGGTTCCCTTTGTGGAACAGTTTGGGCACCGCTGGGTTAAACCAAGTTGTTCCACTCCTGATGATGGGACCTTTTTGTTGAATCATGTGAGCACATGTGGTTGACAGAAGTAGTGTTGAGTATGTGAGCTTGCCATCTTTAACTGAAGTTAAGAAGTTAAATGTGTATCTATTGACTTTGTGATTGAATGCATGTTTTGTGTTTTTGCTATTAAAGGAAACAAAAGTTGTTCTGCCGTTTATTCTGCAAGTATTCTGGTTGGTTTTTTAACTTGCTGCTTTTTACTAAAAAAAAAAACCTTAAAACTTAAAAAAAAAAAAGTTTTTTTTTTTTTTTTTTTTTTTAATTATACCTACTAGTATAACCCTTGACTTTGACAATGCACGTCCTGTAAGTCAATGAGAAGTCACGTTCATATTCTTCATTATTGTTCAATATCTGGAAATGAATGCACAAAAGGGTCCAACAATTTTCTTTTATTGGAAGGTTTCAAATACAGCACAAGTTACACAATAACAATTTTGCATAACTAAGCTAAAAATGAACAAAAAAGTACAAATAAGCTAAAAAAAAAAAAAAGAGCTAAAAATAATATACTAAGGTTCAAGGTCACTGTTGATCTACTAGGATACACATTGTACAGTGACAACTTCATCTTACCTGATGGGAGAAATGGTGGTAGAGAGTTCACCGGTCTCTCGGTTTTAAAAGTCTTGATGTGATCCAGAGAGGCAGAGTCAAAGAGCTGCGGAGAGAACACATGGCACTCAGTCATTTCCGCGTCTATTAATGAATGGAATGACAAGAACGAGCTGGGATATCAATCAAAAGCCGTGTTGATCTCCTTTACCTCTTGCCATCAGCCATACAGTTGATGGGACCAACATGACCTTTGACTCCTGCGCAACACCTCCTACATAGCAAGGAATAACCTACAGATTAGAAGAACACAGCATTGTGCCACATGTTAACACAAACAAACAGGTTTTCCCTAAAAGCAGCCACAGAGTAGTCACTTCAACAGCACGGCCAACAACTACATGTTTACACATCACTATGACTGCTCACTATCAACAGTAATACAAAGTTGTGGCTTCTTCAGTGCTAATGCAAACGCCACAACTCACCTGGCCTCAAATCTGCCAATCCTGGTGGAGGTTGTGGTCACTTCCATGGCCTCCTGTCCACCTTCCATAACCACCTACAACACACACACACACACACACACACAATGGCAATGTTCAAGGTCACTGTTGATCTACTAGGATACACATTGTACAGTGACAACTTCATCTTACCTGATGGGAGAAATGGTGGTAGAGAGTTCACCGGTCTCTCGGTTTTAAAAGTCTTGATGTGATCCAGAGAGGCAGAGTCAAAGAGCTGCGGAGAGAACACATGGCACTCAGTCATTTCCGCGTCTATTAAACAAATAATAATTTCATTTTTACTCCACTCTATCTGGGTGGCTGACGTAGAGCCTTTAACAGCCTCACACAGTCAGCTTTGAACTAAGCAAACTTTTATTCAAGCACTCATCTGTCTTCAAGGCCTTAAAGTCACAGACAGTCAAGTCGCTCAGCTTTATTGGACTGCAATCTGTCAACATTAAAAAGTAACACAAAGCCATAACAGACAGTTCATCTCAAACTGTACCACTGATTTCTCCTAAGATGTACATCACATACTCATAAGTCTCATATAAAAGAATACAAGTCAGTGGATTCACATTACAAGGTCTGTAGTATGGACAGACTGACCGACACCCCTAGACTGAAGGAAAATGTCTTTGTAAATAAATGGGACACACTGAAAGTAACCACACCTATGACTGTGTAGTTTTTTTTTGGTGCATCTCCTTATAGACCCCCAGCAAACTGTCATTGTTTACTTCAGTTTACACATGCTTGTATAACAAACTATCGATAAATATCTTCAAATACATTTCTTATTTCTGTTGTTCTACTTTAGAGCAGGGGGTCTAAAGCACAAATGACTGGAGGGTCACCTCACAATTCCAGTATATAAACAATGACTGACAAATACAAGAGCTAAATGGAAAAGGACAACTCTTTTCTTTATACGCCTTCAAAAACTACAAACCCAGGGTTCATTTTTAAGTTTAAAAAAAAAAAAACCAGGGTTTTTTTTTTAAGTTAAAAAAAAAAAAACCAGGGTTTTTTTTTTAAGTTAAAAAAAAAAAAACCTCTTCTCTGGGCGTTCTCCTTGATGGCCAGCAGGGTGTCATTCTGATGACTTTATTTATAACATTTTTCAACAAGGGATCTCACCTTGGCCGTGCTGTCCTTTGAGGCACTGGTGAACATGGGGAGGTCTACAGACGTCTGGATGGCGGTGATGTCCCTGCTGTGCTCCTTAGCTTCCTTCAGGACTTCTCTGGAATATTGACAAATGAACAAAAAAAAAAAAAACTCTTCTCTGGGCGTTCTCCTTGATGGCCAGCAGGGGGGCATTCTGATGACTTTATTTATAACATTTTTCAACAAGGGTTCTCACCTTGGCCGTGTTGTCCTTTGAGGCACTGGTGAACATGGTGAGGTCTACAGACGTCTGGATGGCGTTGATGTCCCTGCTGTGCTCCTTAGCTTCCTTCAGGACTTCTCTGGAATATTGACAAATGAACAAAAAAAAAAAAAAAGTTTCTCATTATCACAGGCTCTACAACAGATGCAGTCTGTGATTCACTTCAGTATTTCATTTCTATAATACTGTGTACAAGCTATTTCTTTAGCAGTAATCAGGAAGCTGTGTACTACCTGCAGTCGCGTTTCTTTTTGCGGTATTCATTCGTTAAGGTTGCGCGTGACGATCACCTACCGATCTGTTGTGGACCCCTCAGGTCGAAGAAGTTCATGAAACACTGATAGCCCACCTGCTGGTCCGTGGAAAACTTGATGATGTTGCTGGTGAAATCGAACCCGCGTGTTCTGACGGCAGACATTAAAGAAGGGACACGGAGCGAAAATTAAACACCAAAATATGAAACACTTTATACAACACAGGCAATTATCCAAAATACATTCAAACACTCAAACTAATAAGTCTGCTGGAACCACCTATATACAGTAGCTAACTGTTTATTTCATTTTTATTGTTTCACCACTCAACTATTTACACTGTGCAATTATTTTATACATTTGTTCATATAACATCCTTATAATTATACTAGCTCTGCTTATATATACAAATCATAGGCTTAATGTGGTATACTTACCACATATATATACACTACATATACACATCATACCAATTTAATTTAGCATAACAGTAGTATGACAAAAAATATATAATTGAGATTGCAAGCAACAAAACCCACACACGTCAACAATAATTACCTACTAATTTACTAGTACTACTAACACTGACCTATCTACTACTACAACAGACTAATCTATCAGTGTGCTGCCACTCACGTTTGTATTTGAATGTATTTTTACTTATTTGTGTTTTTATTGTTGTTTTGGTGTTGTACTGCTGCTGGAACGCCCAACGGATTCACAAAGTTCTATCTAAACGTAGCCTGTATCGTGGCAGCAATTCGTGAGGTCAACTGTGTCATGATTACACATTTACTTGGTACAATAACTGTCAGACAATTCATCACAATATTACAATTCTTACGCTTTTATTGGTTTCTGTTGCCTGATAACATAACCTTTAAAGTCATAACGTCGTTGCGGTACGCCAGTCTTCTCTTGTTTATTGTTTGAGTTCACCTTCACGTTGGTTATATTTTCTGACGCTACTCAGGAAATGTTAGGTCCTTCATATCGCTAATTATTAGTGACATCGACTTATGACGTCCCTGGTGAAGACACGGCAGCATACTGAGCTAAATAACATCAAAGGATACGGTCACAGTCGACGCACCGCACAGCTCCCGTGTGTCCGTTGTAGGTACCCAGTACCACACGTTGGCCACCTGTGTGGGGAGACATTGTTGAAGGTAAATGTTAAAAGGCTTCAATGCAATCATGGCTTCACTTCACAAATTATTGGTTTGCTCTAAACTACTGGCTCCACCAATAACCTCAGGACGAAATCCATGTTGCACTACTTTCCTTTTAATCTGAATGAAAATAAATCAATTGTACTGGCCTCAGTCGTTTCCCCTTTTCTCAGTGGTTCTCAAACTGTGCTACGCATACCACCAGTGGCACGCAAGCGCTCTATAGTGGTACGCGGGGGAAATTCACATTTTCACATTTCCATTTTCAACTGAATAAACCTGAAACATACCATGTACAAGTAATACAACACTTAAACATAAACATCTTGATAAACATCTCCCGTGTGGTGGAAGCTAATAAGGAAAGCCTATGCTGCTATATTCTAATATTCTATGGTGGTACTCAGAGAGCTCAATGTTTTCTCAGGTGGTACATATAGAGTATAAAAAGTTTGAGAACCACCGCTATAAAGCATACAGCCTTTTGTTTGTAAGACAATTGCAAGTCAAAGCTACCTGATGCTGCTCGACTAGCAGAGTCGTGTCGCCATTTGTAGCGTGTCACGTGGACATTCCATATTCTTCACCCAAACCAATTACTATCCTATTAGTCATTGGTGGTGGCACTTGTTAAGTGCAAACATTTCGTGTCACTCACTGGATCCTTGGCGACGGGAAACATAGGGTCTCATATAATATAATATTGAAAGTTAATTTCATATTTTCAAAAAGCTGCTGTCAGCCCAACTTAAATTCCTGTCAACGGCCATATTACCTTATTTACCGCGACAACTCCATGTTCATTGTTTAGGACGAAAACCTAACTACGTATCATTTTAACTTCCGACAAAGGCTAGCGTTAGCTGCCGAGACACATATGCTAGCGACCCAAGGTTTACCATTTAAAACAAAATACAATTGACAATTGTCCATCCATCCATCCATCTTCAACCGCTTATCCGGGGCCGGGTCGCGGGGGCAACAGTCTGAGCAGGGACACCCAGACTTCCCTCTCCCTCGACACTTCCTCTAGCTCTTCTGGGGGGACCCCAAGGCGTTCCCAGGCCAGCCGAGCGACGTAGTCGCTCCAGCGTGTCCTAGGTCTTCCCCTGGGTCTCTTCCCAGAGGGACGGCCCCCGAGCCCCTCCCGAGGGAGGCGTCCGGGGGGCATGCGATGTAAATGCCCAAGCCACCTCAGCTGACTCCTCTCGATGTGGAGGAGCAGCGGCTCTACTTCGAGCTCCTCCCGCGTGACAGAGCTCCTCACCCTATCTCTAAGGGAGCGCTCTGCCACCCTGCGGAGAAAGCTCATTTCAGCCGCTTGAATCCTTGATCTCGTTCTTTCGGTCATGACCCACAACTCATGACCATAGGTGAGGGTAGGAACGTAGATTGACCGGTAAATTGAGAGCTTCGCTTTTCGGCTCAGCTCCTTCTTCACCACAACGGACCGATACAGCGACCGCATTACTGCGGCCGCAGCACCGATCCGCCTGTCAATCTCACGCTCGATTCTACCGTCACTCGTGAACAAGACCCCCAGATATTTGAACTCCTCCACCTGAGGCAGGACTTCATCCCCGACCCGAAGGGTGCATACCACCTTTTTCCGGTCGAGAACCATGGCCTCGGACTTAGAGGTGCTAATTTTCATCCCAGCTGCGTTACACTCTACTGCAAACCGCCCCAGTGCATGCTGCAGGTCCTGGTTCGAAGAAGCCAACAACACCACATCATCTGCAAAAAGCAGAGATGAAATCCGGTGGCTACCGAACTGGACCCCACCCGACACCTGGCTGCGCCTAGAAATTCTGTCCATGAAAATAATGAACAGAACCGGTGACAAAGG